TGCTCTGGGTCATGTCACCTTGTCTCCTGTAATCAATCTGACACACGTTCATGTCTGTTTGAAGGAACGCACGCTGTGCAAGTCAACTTACACGGGATGGCAACGTGAACGTTTGTTTGCTTACAGGTGACTGTCCCTGCGCTGCTCGGTTCAAGGGAAAGCTTGAACGTAAGCATGCTAAAGCACAAAATTTAGACTGACAAACACAAGCCATTTTTCTCTTAAGTTTGTGACCTCAAAGCTAGTCTTGCTGTTTCAGATAACATGACACCAACTTTTACAGAAAACCAAAAGGAGATGTTTCAGGAGGGATGAGCAGGAAACAAGCAAATAGGTAAAGAATGAAAAGTCAGCCACAGCAAAATGATATTGAATGAACTGGGAAATGTGAGACTGAAGAAGTAGCTCATTGCTTAAAAGAGATGATAAAGGAAAACATACCTATATTACTAAAGAAAAATAAGCAAATGAACAGCCTGCAAAGTCATGAGTTCATAAAATCAGCTGTATCTGCATTAGAAATAATGTCGCCTGAAGGCAACTGATGGGAGTGGGACAGTGAGGGTGCCACTATATAGGTTCCAAATTAAAGGAAGCATAAAATGCTTCCACAGGACTGTGCAAATAACAAGATAAATGACAAGCACTGCCCTGAAAGATAGGGATGAAAAGGGGCTGATGTGGCAGACTACCAAGAAGATAAAACAATGCACCGTTTTCCTTCAAGACACATCTGTGATAAGGAATGGGAGCTTTCTTGCCAGTTACCTCCAAACGAACTCTGCAGAAGCAGGACTTCGTCTCCAACCGGGATGGGAAGGCAGCACTGTGAGGGCATGGGGAAGCACAGCTGAACCAGGAGTGCCGAAGGGAAACTCAAGTACTTTGTTAATTCCCCGGAGAAGGTGAGTTGAGTACAAAGAAGCTGAAGCCAGTCCTGGTTTGGCTGCTGCTCAGATGTGCTGAAGGATGTGGGGCCAAGTCCCAGCAGTGCTGACTATGTCTCTGATTACTTCTGACAGCAATGTAAAAGCTAGCTGAGATACGCTGTCTCATAGGGCACCATCTCATCACTCAGACGAGCAGACTATCCACAACTTTTGAATCCTGTCCCAAATACAAGGAGCATAAGTTTCTAAGGGTAATGGTGAGAGTTCTAACAAGTCATTTAAAAATAAAAAAATCTTTTTCCCTTGGGGAGTGGCAACCTTGCTCCACAAGTTACAGAGAATTTGAGAAGAAATATAATCAAATTTCAGGGGCGAATGCATTAGCAGTTTTGGCAGCAGATATTTTTGTTGCAACTGGCTGTCCTTGCACAAACCATTTTAAGGAGAATATATTGGTGGAAAGCCATAAAGGTTATTTACATAGATGGAGTTTCATTATCTCCTACTCCAAAACATGATGAATTGCTTATGCTGATCTAATGTTTTCTTTATCATGGTTTGTGTGAGGCTCGGAGCCCATATTAGATTGTGTTTTAGTTGCTCTTTTAGTATGCTGATAGTAGTCCTTTGAGATACTAGTTTAAATTATGCAGCATGTGCAGTATTATAAAAACAGTTTCAGAAACCTAATATTCAAACAAAATCAAAATATTGCTTGTACCATGAGCTTTGTTATGCTCCTACTTAGCAAGAATAACTTTATGCAGGAAATAGTCTGCAACCTTTTTAGGAATATACCTTTCAAAATTTTCTGAGAAGATCTTCAGTTCTCCTTTCCAACAAGTGGAAGAGAACAACTTTCAGGTTTGCTCCCAGGAGCTAATTTTTCCCTTTCTTTGAAAGCCATTCTCAGTCCTCTCCTGGTATGAAAAAGGTGTTTTGGTATTAGGTTAGTTCTGTAGTTTGAGTTCACTGTTCTGTTCAGGATAGAAACTAAGATGCTTTACAAAAAGTTAGCCTAAGTCTTAAAGAATGTCTACAAGAGCCTTTCAGTTTTGTTTGGCAAACAATTTCAAATTCAACATTGCATCAATTTCTGCTGTTAAAACAGACCAACTCTTGCAACATAGCCTACATCCAAACTGAAATCAAGTACACATCTTTTACTAATATGACATAGCGTCTGTTTAAAGAAAGATGGGATTTAATCTTAAAGACACTCTCATCAAAACAGCTGATACAGGATCTGTGTAGGATTATTCTTTTACAGAATTGCTTGCATCAGCTGGCATTCTTTTCTTCAAATGAAAGACAAACATTTGGTTTTGGTAGTTACTCACTACTCTCAAGTTACTTTTCCTTTCATTTCAATTTAAAACAGGCAGACATTCCGTATTAAAGTTCAAAGAACTCCTGTCTGAGCCTAAAGAGAAACTTATGGTGATTTTTGTTACCAAAACCTGTACATTTCCATACTCTGAGGTTCTAGAAAAGGATGATCTGTTTGGCATTATAATACTGTTTTGAAAATAAAGCCAAAAGATTTCTCTCATTGCTATTTAAGAAATTAAATCCCTATCATGCAAGCCTAGTACCAAACAATAATTTCCACCTGGAGGAGGTTTTAAACAAAGATACCTTACTAAGTCTTTTCCATAGCTGTCACTCTATCAGTATTGTAACCAGAGTAATGAATAAGCAGAGTCTGAACTTAAACCTTCAGTTTCCCAATTCTGTTGATCCCTGCTCTGATACAGGGCACCTGCAGCTTGAGCAGGCCACCTGGCCTCTTCCCTTTCACTACCTGCAGACAATGATTATCCTGTTTATATATGGACTGCAAAGCCTCAGCTTGTCTCTCGGCCCGCAAAACACCCGTGGAAACACCATGACTGTAATAACCCAGAGTATGGACAAGCTTGAACTTACATATATCCTTCCGCCAGACCTGAGGAAGGCAAAGCCCGGGCACTGCAGGTGGCGAGGTCGGCAGGTGAGGGCAGGCCGCGCGCCAGGCCCGACGAGGCCAGGGCGCCTTCCCGTGGCAGTCGAGGTCCTGCTGCCGCTGAGGGGGTAGACCCCGACAGCTCTGGGTGCGTGCAATACAGAAGTCTCAGTAAACACCCCTTCATAGCCCACTACCACAGCAAAGCCCAGAGCCCTCTGAGAAGAAACCTTCCCCCGCACCGCCAGGCGGGCAGGCAAACTGGCAAGCATGTCGGCCCCGCCCCACTTTCCTCACCCCATCAAAACTACACTTCCCGTCGAGCCTTTCGCCCAGCAACGATCGCCTTCCCAGAAAGCCGCGCGGCGCCGCGCACTGCCATTGGTCGGGTTTGAAAAGAAGGCGCGGCTGTGCCGGTTACGCTGTACTGGTAAGCCGGTTACTCGGTGGCGGTTACTCTGTGGTGGTTACTCGGGCAGGTGAGAGGATTGGAGTTGTCTTTCTCCGGCGAGGGTCGGCGGCTGGGCCTGCCCAGCGTGGCGTAGGCTCTCAGGTAAGCCTGTGCGGGCTGCGGGGCTGCTGGGCTTCCTCTTGAGGAGGAAAGGAGGCAGGGGGCGCGGGCGCGGGCGCGGGGTTCGTGGAGCTGGGAAGCAGTGTGGGTGGCTTTCGTGGCGCGCGGCGCTGAGGCCTCTTCCTCTCGCTTCTCCCTGCTGCCGTCGTGGTTGCTAGCGTTACGGTGGGTCAAAAGTTACGGCGGGTGAGTGGAAACTCTTCAGTACTGCTGTGGGGCGTGCAAGTCGCGGGTAATGTTTGGTCCAGGGCAGTAATGGTGACAAAGCCATACGGCAGCATCCCATAAGAATGGCAAAATAGTGCAGAGCCTTGAAGTGAACGATTGATATTTGTAGAGGGAAAACTTTCCTTTTAAATTCTTTTAAGTGTAAGGCCTGATGCTTTATGTCTTATGTAAGCTGCTAAGCTTATTGTGTGGTTTAGAGCCCTCTTTACCCTTTCTTGTGTTGCCTGACAGCGTTACAGGCTGTGTGTGTGCTGCAACGACGCTTTGCTGTGCGTGTCAATCTGGATCCCCTTCTCTTAAGGTGTCTGCAGCTCTAAAATTTATTGTCATGATAAGTAGAGTTACAATAACATATCCTAGTATACAAGTACTTTTTAGTGGCTACAGCCAGGTAATATACCCGTTTGCACCAGAGAATCTAGGGTAATTACAGCGCTGTATGACACCAAGTGGAGACAGATGGACAGTCTGCATCTTGGGTTTTGCATGCTGTCAGTGATTGAACCTTACCGGTCTGAGTGCTGGCTCATATGAACAATTTCAGTTCCAGCTTTGCATACATAACTTAATGTTTGCCTTTTGCTTCTTACATAAAAAGGCACAGAATAAGAGTGTTATCTTGACAAATCACACTTTAATCTTATATTTAAAGCAACTGAAATGTCAGTTATCTAACAAATACCTTTCCTGTCAAGACCTGATAAGAGCTTTGCAGTGTGACTTTGTGTAGGTGATGAATAAGACTTCTAGATCATGACAGCACAGGTATGTTTCTTTCTAGTAACTTATTCACAGGCCAGTGTTTGTTCAAGCTGTGATAATATATTAGGCCAAGTTTTTCTGTTTTTGTACAGCTGTCTGATGAAAGTTTCTGAACTCTGTCTTGTATTAAGCTACACTGTGTTATCTTTATAATACCAACTATTTGTCAGGTCCTGCGGAGATAACCATGAAGTTTTGGTTACTCTCGCAAAGAGCTTTTATTCTAAATGGACACTATAATGGGATGATGGAGAAGTGGATGTGGAACAATATGATTTTTTTTTTTAATTTTTATTTTATCTTCCTTGTCCAACATGGTTTTTAGCAAGGTTGTGGTATATGTGTAAGGCTTTTTCCTGGTAAACAGTTGCTTTTCCTTAAAAGAAGAATAGCTGTTCTTATTTCATTATAATGTGAACCCCTCTGCAGACTCTATCCTCAGCTATTGGAAACTAGCTGTGTAAATTATGAATAGGATGAAGAAAGCTTTCTCCTTAAAGAAACTGCAGCTATTGGTCTCAAATTGACTTGTCTTCCAAGGGACTTCAGAAGCTCTACATCATGTAATAAGAGACCAAAAAATAGTTTTGTTTTATCTTGCAGGATGGAACCAACTTCGGATAATGAGAAACTTTTCAGACCATCCTATATTGCTAGTGCTGAGCCACTGCAAAGAACAGGACCAGTAAGTGTGGAAGATATCAAAACAGATCTCTCTGCTGAATTTTCTCTTATTTCTTCAAGTTCGGACACAAGCCAGGTGAGAAAGCTTTAATGTTTGCATTGTTTGGATAGCTTTTTTTTTTTAACAAGCTTAGTCCTTTCATCGATAAGAATAATCAGAATTTTACAGAGAAGACAAAAAGCATTTTTAATTTGAAGGAGATACATAGGACTAGATTAAGTGGTGTGGCAATGCATTGATACCTTACTGGCTGCATCAGTCTTCTGTGAATGAGGCTAATTGCCAATTCAGGACAGCTGAATCATAGAATGTTTTTGTTGGTTTCCTTCTTGATGTCTAGTTGGCTTGAATGTAGTGTGTATATTACTACTGTTATGTGCTGCAAGATTATTAACTCTTAAGTTACCACAGCTAACTTCTGCAGGGGCCTAAGCACTTGTAAAAACTGATGTAGCGAATTACTTTTGCTTCCCATGTCATCAAGTTTGTTCAAAATAGCCTGATGAAAACAAAACTGCCTTAACATGCTAGTTATCAAACAAAAACTGTAGTCAAATTTCTAACTTCCTTAATTTTTTTTTTTAAGAGGAGCTGTTTGGAGTCTAAAGGACACATACAAGTTTGCCTGCGTATTAGGCCATTTACATCATTGGAAAGAGAAAATGAACTGCAGGTGTGACATTTAGTTTAAAAATACTTTAAATGTATGGTGTGGGTGTGTTTTTTTCCTAGTAACTTGAGCTCTTTTTTCTCTTTTCATGCCTGCATTGCTTGTGCTTCCTTTTAATAGAACTGCGTTTCGCTTGAAGACTCAACAAGCATCATACTGAAGCCTCCCAAAAACTCTTTGAGTCGACTTAGTGAAAAAGCTGCTGGACAGATGATGCAGAAGTTCACTTTTTCACGAGTAAATGAGTTGCCTTTAAAAGTTTTTAATTTATTCCTGGAAAAAGTTGTTTAACTTATTATTTGATACCAAGCAAACTAGATTTTTTAAGCTGTCAATAGTCCTTAAGATTATAAACATGTAGAATTTAAAAGAATCTTTTAAAGTCTCTAATGATTGCTTAAAGAAAATAAAGATGTTTCTTGGTAACGCTCAGGTGTTCGGACCTGAAACAACTCAAGAAGAATTCTTTGAAGGTACCATGAAGCAACCAGTGCAAGATTTCTTAGACGGATATAATCGTCTTATTTTTACATATGGCGTTACAAATGCTGGGAAAACCTACACATTCCAAGGTAAGAGCAGAAATGTGTTCTTCTTGAATGAACTTCCTTTTTTTTTTTAAAGTGAGGATTACTTCTAGCAGAAATACTTGAACTTTTTCCTTTATTTAAACTGTAGGACCTGTACATTAGATTCTCTTGAATATTAATAAATGGCCTTTGAAAGACTCCTTCCATAACAAATATTGCTAAACTGCCAACAGACAGTCAGTGCCAGAGTTTACGTAAATGTATAGTGATACCGCTTTGTAAGGCTGTAATAATTTCAACCAGGTGTTTGTGGCTTGCCTCTTTTCCTCCAAGCATCTAGAATGTCAGGGAGGAGGGGGAGTTAGCAACATACATCTTCTATATATCAGGATGCGAAAAGTGTGTAAGTTGCTCTACATGAGACTAGTATTTTTTATTGTTATAAAGGTCATATACATCTTATGTGCTGTCTTCAAATAAGGAATAGTATTTGAGTCTGTTTCAGTTGTTATAGGTAGAGAATAATTGTTTCGAAACATGTTTGATTACTTCCAAGTATTTCTATCTTGTCTTAAGTTTTTGAGCTTATCGATAATATCCTAGAAGACCTTGATTCCTAGTGCACTGTTTCTCTGCTATGAAAACTTAATATCCTTTCTGATCAGAAGATGTCGTTCTTTATTTTTTAGAGCATCTTAATGAACAAGGTGATTTGATTCACATGGAAACAGTTTTTCCTATAATGAAATGGCAGTTCCAGATGTTATACTGCTTATTTTATATGCAGAAGTAGTAGAAGGACAATGACTTTTGTGCCATATGGAATTGATCTTTCTTGAGGTGACATTGTCTTCTAAGTGATCTTCTGTTAGGTGGATTATGACTGAAGACTACTGCCAGTAATTTCCATTATCATTAATCTGAGGCAATAATTGGATGCTCTTTCCTGTCCTAATAAGTAATAGGTAAATAACAAAAAATAAAATTCCTAAAGTGTACAGTCCCCCATGCTTGACTAGTTTGGGGTATATTGTGTGGTTTTTCAAGAATTCTTGATTTGTGTCTTTTGAGACTGCGGAGTTTTTCATGGTATTGTATTTTTAGGTCTTAACTATAAACTTGTGATAAGAATTGGCAGGGCAGAATGTTGCCTACTGGATGACAGGATTCTGTTATTCCCAGTAACATCAATATAGCCTTCCCACTTTGGCATTATGTGGAAGCCTGTATTCAGTCAATGGCAAAGGACTAAGTGAAAGATGAAGCAGTTATTTTAGGACTGTTCATTGTTTGCCAGTGACTGTTACTTTGGTTATGTTAAGTTGAATTACAAGTGGCATTATGATAAACAAAAGAACGATTAGAGAGGACATGAGGAGAAACAAACGTAATGCAATAGTACTTTATGTTATTTGGTTACTAGTTTGGTGTTTGAGTGCCAGTTTTTGCATAGGTTCTGACTTAAGCACACAGCTAGTGCTGTAACTGGTAAAAGCTCATCTATCTCGGGAGTAGGAGAAATTATCAGAGGCTGGAAGATGATACTGTCAGTGTTTGAGACAGGACAGTACTTTCTCTTCCACTTTCCTCTCTCTCCTCTTCTCTCTGGTTTAGAAATCAAAGTGAAGTGGACGATTTTTGAACTTGCGTCTGGATTCAGAAAGATCAAGCATCCATTAAGACTTTTATTTGACTCCTTTTTGCCTTTCAGGCGCAAAATTAGTATGCGCTGAGAAAAGGGTCTGGGACAGGGAAAGAAATGAGTCTTCACAAGGCTTCTGAACTTTTTTGTAGGGTCTGTGGAATTAGTAGAGGACTGCAGCTGAGAGGTCAGTCATTAGTTGTATTTCAAGATTACTTCCTTGTGAGAGAGAGAGTGAAATGTGATTTGAAAAACTGCAAATATTTATTAAATGTCTGTTGGTTGTGGTTGGTTAGTTGGTTTGCTTGTTTATTTTTCCTTAAGGCTAAACTTATGCAGAATACCCCAGAAGTATTTGTTTTGTGTTATGCCTCTTACTGTCTAAGGGATAGAGCATGAGCTGTTGCTGAAAGCCAAGTACCTTTCAAAACACTCTAATGACATTTTTGTTATCTTGGGAATACAAAAAAAAAACACCTGCTTCATGCTGTAAGTGGCCTCCAAATTCCACGTGTGCCTCGAGATTAGAATTTGCTTATTTTTCTGTCTTCATTTATCTGTATACCTTGTTCACAGTAATCATCAGGATCTTTCTTTTGTATGTTGCATTCAGGGACAGAAGATGACATTGGTATTCTGCCAAGGACTATGGATATGTTGTTTAAAAGTATTCAAGGAAAGCTATATGCAGCAATGGATCTCAAACCCTATCGGTGTAGAGATTATATAAAGCTGACCGAAGACCAAGTGAGAGAAGAAGCTGCTATTAAGAATTCAATACTTCGCCTAACAAAAGAGGTAGAGAAGCACTTCTTTCTATACTAATGAGCAGACACATCTTTAAATAGATCAATTTTACCCTCTTCACTTTTCAATGGGAAGAAACTAGGTATTTAAGCATGGATGTGTCTATTTGTTGTCAGTCAGCTATTCAGATGAGAGGTAAAGTAAGCAATAGAGCTGATGAACCCTGTTCTCCTGGGGATTTCTGTCTGATGGCTGAATACTTGATAGGACGTAAACTCTAAGCTTTTTCTTTTTCTATAGCTTGGGCACCTGATAATTTATCTTCTGGGGTTGCTGGTGTTTAATAAGGACTGAATGCAAATAATCTCTCCATCTATGGGGATGCTAGTAGGTCTGCTCCTTTAAACAATTTACTATCTTTTTGGGATAGTTGAAAGAAATTAATGATGTTGAGGTTGTTCCCCTCTTCCAGTTTGGCAATTATTCTCAAAGGAAGCAAAATTTTTTTTGAAACAGTTGAGCTATAAATCCAGTGGACTTCTAAAGATTTGAATTAAAATGGGTTTCTCTCACACTTAATTCTTACAGATCACTGTTGAGCAGTCCAGAAATTCACTTCAGTTTTGAGTTGCCTGGATTTCTAAAGCTATTTAGTCTAATTACAGTTATGAGGAATTTGTATCTTGTATAAGCATACCTTTTCCTTGCTGTTTTTAGTTCTGAAGTGAATGGAGTAATATAAAAAATCTGAGCACATGCTACAAAGTGGAACTAGAAGGAGATTACTGCGGCTTTTTTTGTTTTTAATGAAAAGAATTAAGCACCTCCCTAGAGGTATGCTAGGTTATAATGAGGTGTTCTGGTCATTGTGGGATGGAATATATCTGTTACCTTGATTTTTATCTGTGAATTAGTTAACTGGACTTCTCCAGTGTGGAAGGCAGGTGGCAGCAAAATTCTTCAAGACTTGACTTCAAAAGACTTCAAAAGCACAAATATATATTAAATCTAGCTCTAGCAATCTTTAAGGACTTCAGAAAAACCTGCCCTGTATCTGTGTGAGAATACACATATACGTCCCCTCAAGTTTCTGAAACTGTGGTTGTAAGAACGATACTTCAGCTTATAAATTTGGTGGCAAAGCTTGCATCTACTTCAACAGAGACAGGTTTGGGTGGATGTTTTATATGCGTAAGTCTTAAACCTAAAAGTTTTGATTACCTAACTATTTAACTATTCCAGGAATCACTTTATGGAATCCTAGCTTTGTATGAAATATACTCTTGACAAAACACTGAAAAAACCTGACCCAAACCACCCCTGTGTTTTTTATCTATATTTCTTCTCTTAAACGTACTGGTTTGGGTAGATGAGTTGTACTTTGCAGTTCTATGCCTAAAAAAACCCAACCAAACAACATTAAGACTGGGAATGAAGTGTGTGTGTGTATGGACCTCATAAGCTCTAGCTCTAGGAATTTGTTTTACTTTTTTTTTTTTTTAAAGAGCGCAGCAGAAGAAAACTTTCCTTCTCTTTCTTAAACCTAGATTTCTTCAACTGTGAAAGGTTTCTACAGCCTGTATCATGAAGCAATAAGTTGCTCAATTTCTTAAGTGAATGAGTGTTCTACATTTGCATCTGTTTCTGAGGGCTGACCTAGTAAGCTGTAAGATATAGAATCCTGAATTAGCCAAATACCAATAATAAAAAAGTTCAGGACTCTAGATTCACCAGGCTGAGTAATCTGTAAACTGCAATTGGACTCCTACAAATCATCCTATTAAATCACCCTATTTCTATGTGGATTCCCAGCCCTCTATTTTTCTTCTGATTCAGCAAGCTGAAATGCTATATACTGTGATAGGGCCTGATGTAAGGGGAGTGTCAGGAATGAGTATTAAGAACATCCTTTTCAACAGGAGCATACAGGTGCATTGAACTAGGCATGATATGTAGCCAGAATCTTTGTATTGGCATATTGCTACTACACTGTATTCCTACCTAGTAGGACAATAGTCTTTTTACAAAAGTAACTGGTGGGTAACTGGTGGTGTACTGGTGATGTACTGTCAACAATACATCTTAGTCTCTGTTCTCTTTTGCAGGTAGACCACCAAAATAGCACTAACAACAAAGAACCAGTTGATTCTAAGGGTATGTTTTATATTAAAGAATTGTAATTAAAGCTGGCAAAGAAGATTTCTCAAGGTCAATAACTGATTTCTGGCTCATGTTAATAATAAAATGACTACTTGGTATTTTTATATACCTGTGAATTGGAGAGTGAGCAAGTCATCTGAGCAGAAAACACAAGGATAAAATGGTTAGAAGAATACCTGAATAGGCATTAAATGACATAAAACTATAGTGAGGAAAATTAGTACTACTTGTGCTATGAGTCCTAGTGGTATCCTGACAGGATTTTGGAGTACCTGTATGTAATTAGATAAACCTAATACCTAATTCTAGCATTTAAAAACTACCTAAATACTGGGTTTGCTTTAAAAAGTCGGAATGAGGTGTGCTTGTCAGTTTAATTGTCTATCTTCTAAAGATACTGAAGAGACTTGAATAATTCTAACCAAGCTGTATGTGTTTGGTAGAATGTGCAAGCGGAAAAGGAAGTGGTAGAGTAGGTGTCTCTTGCAAATACGTGGGGCAAGCATGTGACTTCCAGGTACTTAAGAAAAGGGGGGGAAATTTCAATGTGGTTTTGTCCAGGGTAAGTGTTTGTTAGAAGACTGCTGTAATATCAGTTTTCACTTATTAATTTTTTTAATGAAATTCACTTTACTAGGCCTATATTGACTTGTAATATTTTGTACTTGGCAGATTTGGAAGAACTGTTAAAAGACTCCGAACAATCTAGCACAACTGTGAAAAATTACATGAAGTTTTCTGTTTGGGTTTCATTTTGCGAGATTTACAATGAATGTTTTTATGATCTACTGATTCCTATATCACATGACAAGAAAAGAAAAACGCTACGCCTTGCTCAAGACATCAAGGGATGTTCTTATGTAAAAGGTGATTAGAATACACTGCAAATTGCCAAACATGTAATTCAAAAAAATCAGTCTTCCTATAACAATATTTACATCTAGATTAAAAAACTGCATTCACTGTGGCACTAGAAATGTCTACCTTGAGTACATTCATAGAAGTATCTGTACCTTTAACAGTGTTTTCGCTTTATTCTTGACTAATTCTTAAAAGCCTGCATGCACTCTGCTGCCTTGATATTTCTTTGAAATGGGAGAAATATTGAAAACAATTGAAAATTTGTTAGTAGTTTGTTTTTTTCCATTTTTTTAAAAAAGGCTCCAAAAGTTCTTAACTATAGTTATACTTGGCTCAACGGTTCTTTTTTTGGTGTATTTTGTAGAGAAACAGACTTCAGAGAATATGTGAGAAAGTTCAATCTCACTAATAATTACATTTTACAGTATTCTAATTTAATCAAACCTGTGATGTAATTTGTTTTGGAAGGGGGAGGGCAGGGCAGAAGTTAACAGAACTCAGTAACACTTTAATGTTTGTTTCTGGCCATGGGAAAAATAGTTTGAAACCTGTTTGATTTGTTACAGATTCTTTAGACAATCAAGACATTAATTCTAGATTAAAGGCTTTTTTATAGATGTTTACCCTGCTACTTTTGTCTTTCATATGCCAAACTATAGATTCAAAAAGCTGAATTAGACAATTGCAACTCTTTCATTTCTTCAAACACTAGAAAATATGTGAAGTAGCAAACAGTCTACTCTGAGCTATGCTTCAGCATAATTATTTTTTTTATAAAGCTTGGAAGTGTAAGGCTGTTCCTGATGTTATTGAGGAAAAACAGTTAATGATTTTCTTGGTCACAGCTGGTATTTTTGCTAGTACAATTTTGATGACCTGTAGTTTGACAGAGACCATAATGCTCATATTATAAGTTCTATTAGGAGGGTTGTAGGTATTTACTCTAACTTATACCAAGATAACATACAGTCATCGTATTGCAGACAAAATTCTTCACTGAACTTTTTCAGTTGATGGCCCTGAAAGATGTCCAGATGATTTCTACACACACGCACCCTGCCCCCCTGCCAAAATCATAGGCTAAAATGGAGAAACTGTCCAGGTAGAATTCTGCCTTGATGAATATGAATGTAGGGTCTAACATGAGTATGAAAGTCCTACCTTTTGGCTTTTCAGTGCTCAGGCTAAGGTTACTTGCTTAATTTGGGTGGAACATAATTTAGTGCGCTAATAGGATAAAATGATGCAATATACTTGTCCTTCCTTTCCCATAGAAGGAGGAATCTTATTTGTCACCATATAATTTCTGTATGAAGCAGGCTTAGTAAAATGTTTGTATGTCTCAAATGTATTATTCTTGGTGTGCATACATTGTCCCATAATTCCTTCTTTATTTTTGATAATGATATTTACAAGATTATCATCTTTGTTCTTCCCAAAGATCTGCAGTGGGTTCAGATTTCTGATTCTAAAGAAGCTTTTAGACTTCTAAAACTGGGTTTGAAACACCAGAGTATTGCAAGCACGAAACTAAATACTTGCTCCAGCAGAAGGTGAGAAACATTTTGAATAACATTGGGCATAGGATGGTATGTGGGAAGGACAAACTAAAACATGGCTCATGGCTTTTAGGAGGGGGAAAAGGCTTTAATAAGGTATAGGTATCTAGGTTTCAGTATTGGTGTCCTTTAGCAGTATGTGACCCAATGCTTTAAGCCAAAAGGATTCAATCCTTCAATAAGATGAACATGTGCAAGAGATAACAGCTTTTTATCAAATACTCTCCTCCAAGCAAAAGTACTTAGTTTTATTCCATCTAAATGGACAAAGCAAAATAAGTGCTATGTAAATATCTCTTTAAAAGTTTGTATCTGATAGAGTATATGCTTAGATATGTTGTCAGATTCAACAATGTCTTGAACAGATGTTGTGGAGGCTAAAAATATTTTCAAGGTATTGATCTACTTTATCACTTCTCTGCTGATGTAAACTTCTCCTTTTAGTCACAGCATATTCACAGTTAAGATACTAAAAATTGAAGATTCAGGAGCACCACGCGTGACCCAAGTCAACGAGTAAGTTCAGAGCAGAGTTCCCCTCTTCTTTTGTGATGAAGTTGTCAATTATCTTCCATGTTGGTGTGCTAGTACTGCACTATACACCCAGTGCTCCCTGGTAGAACCTTATGCATGTATGGTGGTTTCCCCACTTTCTACACTCATACAAGACTTGGCCCTCTACCTCAAGCCATCAGGTTGCAATGCTGTTTTATATCTTTCTCCCTCTGTTCAGCACAAGGTTCTGCTAGCCTGCTATACTCCTGAACTCATGTGAGTCCTCAGAAGAAAAAGGACAGGGGTCTGGGAAATAGGAAGTATATTGGGAAAGGGGTTTGGCAGGAAGTAGTGTGAAGATTAACTGGGGAAGCAACATTGAAAATCGGTGGAAGGGTTCATGCAGATGAAGATCAATAAATTCTTCCTCTAAGAAAAGTGATCATTTTTAAAGGTGAATTTTTGCATGTTCTAAGGTAAATAAAGTTAATTTTCATTATCTGCTTTCAGATTGTCGATGTGTGATCTTGCTGGTTCAGAAAGATATACGAAGACCCACAATGAAGGTGATAGATTGAAAGAGAGTGGAAATATAAACACCTCTCTTCTGATTCTAGGCAAGTGTATTAACGCACTCAAGAACTGTCAACAGTCAAAGTAAGTCCTTTTATGAATTGCAAACTGGTTGTGGTTTTTGGGTATTGCCTACAATATTTGAAAGCTATTGTTTAAAATATACAATGCTAACTCTAAGTCTTGGTAGAAAAAATGTATAGACTTGGTGATCTACCCAAGTTACATTAAAATTGCCTTGTTTTGCTCTTTAATTCAAATTCTAACATCCTTTAAACAAAATATGATAGATTTTTAGCAATTTAACTTTCTTCTGAGCTTGGCTTATCAAACAAACTTTGGAATAAGTTTAAAACCCCCTTTTCACTAGTGTCTTAGTAAAAGTCAAATTTTTAGCCTTTTATTACTCCTTTGAACTAACTCCCTTTTCTACATACTTCTAGTGTGACTTTTTTCATCAGCAGGATATTGCTGTGCTATAATTGTGTGCTCTCTAACACAATTTGTCTGTTTTTTCTAAAACTTGACATAACTTTAACACTTTCCTCCTGATTTAGCTAACCATATGCAGACAAAAGAAAGCCTTCTGACTATTTATGCCCTAGCTTGGGGATCTAAATAAGAGTCAAATACGTAAATTAGTTGTCTACAAAACAATACAATATGTAGTCACAGCTGGATGTAACTGTCCAGGAACTGCTTTCTCCATGGGTTCACATTTGAAGATCTATTTCTGTCCCAGAAGTTAAATGAACTCTCAGTCTGCTGATTAATATGCCTGGATGTGCTTTGCCAAATTCACTTACCTCATAACACTGTTCATGACAGCCTATTCAAAGCCTCTCACACCTTAAGATGAAAAAGCTTTGCTAACATGTGTTCCTGATTAACCCTATGTTTTGTCAATTTATGGTCTGTCTTATCTTCCTGTTCTTTCCAGATGGGAAGGATGTATTACAACTAGCAGCTGCTTAGAGGGCTGTTAATGTATTTGGAATGTCTTTTTCTGATCCTAATAACATGGAATTTAACAATATTGAATAAATGTTCTGAAGCATGATCCCTTAAAGTGTTAATAGATGCCCCTTGCAAGCTGAATTGGAAGCAGTAACTTGCTTAAAATGATTCTTGTTTATCAGTCCTGAAGCAAAGCTGTATATATGGTCTGGCAGGAGTGTCACTATCATGCTGAGTTCTGTAGCACTATTCATGTAACTGAATAGCTGTCGTGTATCCAAAATGCAGGCAATTTATTCAGTGGCAAGTGTGTGTTTAGTCATGTTTTAGGAATTCTTGTAAGATTTCCTATAAGCATCAAAAACTATGTCACCAGCTGTTAAATTCAAGGGCACAACTTGTGATTTGGGAAATGCCAGACTACTGGGGATTAGGGAAAAAGTTCTGAAAAGCGTCTCCGTGTGTTTGGTGTATACTCATTTTCTTGCCTAGACACTTGCTATTGTCCATTCTCAGAGGCAGGATACCAAGTGAGAGAGTGCTCTCATAACGTTGGACGCTGCATGCCTAGAACTAGATATTTCCTTTTCACACATGTGGAAATGAGAAGAGAATGCTGGGGTATAGTTTGATGTAGCATGAGGCCACGTGACCTACCCTAGGCTAAATGTTGAACACACTTTTGGTTTAAGTGCTCCAATTGATTGTATTGCTGTAGCCTGTCTGAGATAATGGCTAAAGCAGCAGTCACAACAGCCATGCAATCCCTTCACAAGTAGCTGTGTCTAGTCCAATTTTAAATGATTTAAAGACTAATGCTTTTAAAAATACTTAAGTCTTCAGACTGGATATCTTTTACACTGACAGGAAATTACGAAACTTCTGGTCATCTGTTCTTTTGTCTTTAAAGGTTGCAGCAGCACATACCGTTTCGGGAAAGTAAGTTAACTCATTTCCTTCAAGGATTCTTCAGTGGAAAGGGGAAGGTATACATGATAGTGAACATAAGCCAATGTGCTTCAACATATGATGAAACACTCAATGTGCTAAAGTTCTCGGCCATTGCACAAAAAGTAAGTGTGTTGTGGTTTATCACATTGATCAGTACTAGGATTTGCATTTAAAAAGCAGGTTCTCTCACTCCTAAGAATATGAATTTAGTTACTGGATTTTTGTCTCATGTTGCAATCATATTTTCTAATTACTCCTAGTCCGGCTTTATTTCCTTAAAAAGCTTTTAAAAAGGCTTTTTTGGGATGCTTTTTTCTTTGGAGTGTGGGAGTGGGAGCATCTCCTATTGAAAAGCCATAATTCTTATGAAATGTCTAGCCTAACAAGACACTCTAGTATATTTGGAAGAAATTCCCTGAAATCTAGGTGAATTTCTGTACTCATAACATGCTCTTACCTAGGAGGAATTCTAACTGCCCCATATACTATTGCTATCTTATTTTGGAATATTGCTCACCTGAAATGTTGATAAAATAGGTTGAGCACCAAAGAGAATTTGAAAGATTGTCTTTATGTCTGTAGAGACTTCAGTGGGAAGGTGGAGGTTAAGCAGAATGAGTACATGTAAGTGCAGTGATATAACCCTGGTGAACTGGAAAACAAAAGTATTGGGGATCAGTGCTACAGCCTTAATGGAAGCCATGGAAAACTTCTGACAGATATGTTCAAAGGATGATAGATCCAGCCTTTTGGAATGTGGACTCATCTAAGCAGGTTAAGTACAACACTAGAAGGAGCAGACTGTAAGGGTGATACAGCTGTTCAAGAAATGGAATTTGTAGGATGGCATTCATATATGGCAACTAGAAACCCAAAGTGTAGGAAATGCAGAGATCTTCTTGTGTGTGAGGTGGCAACCTTCTTGTAGGTTGTTGAGCTAGTGAAACTTGGTGTTCCTGAGATCAAAAGGAGGGTTAGACTATAAAGTGACTCCTTTGTACTCTACCTGGAAGCTGGTTGAAGTAGTGACCCTGAACAGAGGATAGGCTAGGGGAGTACTATGCTCAGGAGACCTATAGGAAAGTGCAACAGGTATCTCTTCAAAGTGTCAGTAGAGGTTTAAAAAAATACTGGTGACTTTGTTCTTTGTTTTCTGGGTAGGTTTTGGTTATGGACACGTCTATTCTTCCCCAAGATCAGTCATTTGGCCAGAAATCAGCCAAAGAATCATCGCTACTTAGTGATGCTACAATGCCAATCCCAAGGAAAAGAGCTACTATCCTATGGGACAGGACCTTAGAAGATGTCATTGAAGATGATGAGGCAGAGGAACAGCATAATATGGCAAGAGAAGAAGCAGAGCAGAAACACGAAGAAAATGAAGTTCTTATTGGAAAAGAAAAATATATGGTATGTGCTAGGGCTACTTTAAGAATTAGTGTGGTGTGGAGTCTTGAAGCAAGGTATTCTCCCAGTTTCCCCATTTCTCACTATTTTTTTTGTGGGAAAACTCTGAAATGTGTGTAAATACAGACTGAGCAGTAAGAATTGCTGATCTGGCTTTCTATCCTTTTGGTAACCTATGGTCAGTGCGCAATCCAAGTATTGCTTGGTTTTTAGCAATATAGAAGACTCTTCTTTTGTATTCTATACCTAAGAAAACTCTGAAAACTGTTCTTTAAGGGATCAGTGATCTTAGTCGCTTCCAGGGGAGACAAGGAGGAGGGAACTGGGGACTTAGAGACTGTTTTGTGGAGGCCTCATTAATATTGCCCCAAAAATGACCATCTGGAAAACGACCCAAATCCCGTGGAGCTGAAGCCTGTTTAAGACAGCTTCAAGAATTCTTGTAACAAATGTTCTTTGCAAGTGCCCACTCTGTGCAAACTTACATGTTTGGTACTAGCACAGCAATTTATATTTCAATTGACTCGTGAATCCTTCTGTCTATGAATAAGCTAATAAAAGAACTGGAAGAACATTTACTAGCTGGAAGAGTAATGTGTTGTAGTGTTTGAGGAATGGGAAAAATCTCGCTTCAGGGAAACTATTTCTTTATGAAAAACTTAATATTAATGATATTCTAGGCACTGCTGAATCTCATAGAGTTGTTGAAGAACAAACTTATTGCTGAAAAGAGGAATAAGTTACTGCTGGAACTAAAGATTCGTGAAGAAGTGACACAAGAATTTACCCAATATTTTGCTGAGCAGGAAACAGATTTCAAGTAAGCTAGCTTTAAGTTGTTTTTCAAGTTACTGGTTTAAAAAAAAAAGAAAGTAAATTCACTTATTTCTTAAATCTCTCTTGGCCATAAGAGACCACACTCTTCTGCTAAACTTACTGCATCTGTTAATATATTGGTTTCTGCTTGGACTATGAGTTCAGGAAAAAAATGCTGTGTAGGAAAGGCTTTGATTTTTTTGGGGGGGATGGGTAGAGGGGTGAGTGTATAATCTGTAAATAGTGTTTGTTCATGTAGAGCTCTCCCTAAGACATGAGCTTTGATAGGATATCTGTAGAAAGAGATGACACTTGCAAATTCTTTGGTTACTGTGGTCTTAGTGGTATTCCAAACAGGTATTCTGGCCCAAGAAGCTTAGAAAAAATGCTTGTAGTTCAGTGCTATCCATAATCTGTATGTATATTTGTCTCCCTCTCCTTCAGTGGGGTGTGTGTGGGAAATACACTTCTATTCTAGAGTAGCAGTACTGTTTTGTGTATCTTTCTAATGTGCCAAAACAAAGCAGAAAACATCTTTATTTCTAGGTAGCTGTACTAATAGCTTCTTAGCATCTCCTACTGGCTAGCTTTTGGCTGATTTTTTTTTTTTCTCCTACCAGAGAGTGCCTTTCTCATGAACGAGAACGGCTTGCAGAAAATTCTGAAAGACGCCTGGAAATCTTCAAGGAACTTGTAAATGGTTATACTAAAAATGCAGAAGAAGAAAATAAGTTAAAAGTTCAGCCTTGCAGTGAACAAGCTGGACCTCTGGTATTTTCATATCCCCCTGTCCCTTTTACTAACTACCTGTTACGGTCATGATATGTCTCAAGGATTAGAAGGATAGTTTCAAGGTATTGTGTGCTGTGTAACTGTATCATCAGCAAGATATATTTATCCCACTTAGTAGGAGTAGTTGCTGAGCCTTGGGTATGTATTTAGGAATCTTTGGGGTTTTCTGCGTTTCTGCAACACAAACTGAAAATTACTGTATAAAAAGAAGTTGGGGGAAGCTGCAATTTGGTATAAAATCTATTGCATTAGGTCCCTCTTTAAAGTATTAGAAGCTGACTTCTTAGGTCCCATGTATGGACTGTACTGAAGTGGTCCCAGAGCATCTTTCC